GATTGAAATGCTGTGGCATGACCTTAAGAGAGCGATTCACACCAGACATTCCAAGAATATTGCTACACTGAAACAGTTTTTGTGAAGAGGAGTGGTCCAAAATTACTCCAGATCGTTGTGCAAGTATGATCTGCAACTACAGGAAACGTTTGGTTGAGGTTATTGCTGCCAAAGGAGGGTCAACCAGTTATTAAGTCCAAAGGTTCACATACTTTTTCCTCCCTGCACTGTGAATGTTTACATGTTATGTGCAATTAAACCATGGCAACATCTAATGTTTGTATAGTATTATGTTCAGCAGACTGTGTTCTTCTATTGTTGTGACTTAGATGACGTTCAGAGCACATTTTATGCCCAATTCATGCAAAATTCCACGTAATCCCAAGGGGTTCACATGCTTTTTCTTGCAACTGTATATTAAATGTGTGAGGACCCATACTGACTTACCAAGCCTTGTTCCACAGTGCATCACAATGCAGAGTCATCCATCTTGGAAGAAGCAAGGCTTTGCATCTTTATACTAGAACTGCCTCCATGATGAATGGTGTGATAATATTCAAGGTGCAAAAGAAGCTGTTTAGAAATCTCAGGTCCACAGAATGAATGAAGTATGGACACAGAGAATTTTGCACTGCAGGTCCTAATGTACAATTTCTACTCCAGCAAAGAGAACAGTGAGCAGCACAGTACCTTTTACTCCAAATATTATTAGTATAGCAGTCAGGGGCATCAGAGTCTTAAGCAGTGGTGTATTTAGGTTTCGTGCTTCCCTAGGCAACACAAAAATCACCCCCCCCCCCACCCCCCCCCCCCCCCCCCCCCCCCCCCCCCCCCCCCCACGCAGAGACCCTGAGACTGACCAACACTCCCCTACCCCACGAAGAGAGCTTGACAGTGAACAACAACACACCAGCCGCATCTGAGAGACCTTTCTACTTCCACCTTCACTGACAACCCCCCTCCCCCCCCCCCCCCACCAGCAAGAGAAAAAAAAAAACACTCACTGTCAGGAATGGTCTTATCTCAGGTAGTGCTGGGGCTTACCTGCCTTGTGGACTGCAGTACCAGTGCTGGCCAGTGGGTGCTCTCAGCAGCCAGTGTCTCACTCCTGCAATCAGGCCATCACCTGAGGCTGATTTCAGGAGGTGTATTAAAGCAGGACCAGGCCTGCAGTCAGTGCCTTGGTGTATTGCTCCCTTGTGCCCTGTATCCTGCCTGCCTGACGCTCCTGCTGGACTCTGACACAGCTTAAACTCTGCCCGTACCGACCCCGGCTATTCCTGACCACTCTTCTGCCTGCTCCTTTGTACCTTGTCTGCCCGTTAGCTACCGACCCGGCCTGCCTGACTACATTTGTGCTCCATACATATTTATATCAGTTAAGGTTTGGGCTTTGTTTGCACTACATTGTACATATTTTTATTAGTTTAGGTTTGGTTTGTTTGCACTGGGTTTGTGTATTGTATAACCTTTAATAAATTATATTGTTTACACCTTACTTGAAGCCTGCGTTTCCCTGTGTCAGTCCACATATCTCTGGTCATACCCGGATCCCGGACACTCACCTACACAGCTCAAGACATCCTCGGGAGCAAGAATCAGGCTCTGAATACACCATCAAGCAGTCTGCAGCCTCTCTCAGATAGCATCTGGTCGCCATGCTGTGTTTTTCCCTTCTTCCATCCCTTCTTTTTGGGGATGAAAAATGCTGCTGCCCCCCTGAAAAATGTCACTCTAGGCAAATGCCTTGTTTGCCTTGTGGTAAATACACCCCTAGTCTTAAGCCAGCCATACATGGATCGAAATGTGGCCGGTTCAGCAGGGACCAGCTGAATTTGGATCCATATATGGGCAGGCTGGTTGTACACAAGTAGATTTATTGATTATTGTTTTTCCCCAACAATAGCCAGCAGCACTGATCAGTGTGTTCAGACAGCGAGGAAGGATCTCCGCTGTCAGAATACAATGCCACAGCATGAAAGATTCCTCCATCCACATGGGATGTAGATGGGAGAATCAAATCTTTTTTTTATTCAAGCAACTGGTTGAACGAAAAAAAAATATCAATGTATGGGCTTCCTTAGATAATTCTAACACTGTATTTACTGTACACAGCTGTGAGGTTAGAGAACAGGCGTGTGGGCGCTACCTTTTAGGACAGCAAATCTTCCATTTTTGTATTCAGGTCTGGACAAGGAGAGCAATTAAAAGTGCTAGTAAACCTACTTTGTATATTTTTACCTACAGGTAAGCTTATATTAAAGCTCACCTGTCGGTAAAATGAATATCTCCTTAAATGAAGTGCTCTGAAGAAACGGCATACCCATGCCAGCCCTTCAGAGCACTGTGCCATGCCCAGAGACTACCATGCAAATGCGCGAGAGTGACATCATCGCAGCCCAGCTAGTCAGATGGCCGGAGCTTGCGAATCCGGAAGGAAGATGGGGTGAAGATGGAAGCCTCTACAATGGTGACAGCGTGCAATGCATACTAGCACATTATGTCTTTACCTTGCAGGGGATTTTTTTTTCTTTATAATGGATGCAGTTTACTAGATGAGGCTTTAAGATGAGGTGAGTTTATTATTATTATATAGGATTTATACAGTGCCAACAGTTTGCTCAGCACTTTACAATAACAGGAGACAATACAGCAACAATACAGTTCAATACAAGAGGGTTAGGAGGGCCCTGCTCCTTGGAACTTACAATCTAAGATTGCTGAGGAGGTGATTACTGAAAGACTTGACTCATTTTCCTGTATAGACAAAGCACAAATTTGCTTGAAGATGCAAGTAATCAGGTCTGCCAAGATTTTTTACTGAAGACCCCAAAGATAAATACATCAGCCACCTCAGCTAATCATGCATACATATTTAAAATGAATCAAGTACTTTTAAAGTAATGAGCTCCATATATACCCAGTTATAACTAAAGAAAAATATAACAAAGCAAAAGAAAAAGATAACAAATTGTAGCAATGTATCCAATCTGAAAGTGTCCTGGAACAACCTTACAGAGATTCTTTTTTATGTTATTCCAAGATACATTCAGAATACTATAGTGTGTTATTATTTCTTTGCTCCTTTATATTTTTCTTTTGTTATGGTTTGATATAAAAGAGCACTGCTCTGTAGCAACATTTTCTTGTAGGTAATGGCGAAATTACATAGATGTGTGAAACATATGTGATACACTTTTGGTATTATGTATTTTGTATTGCTTTTATGTCAGTTATTTTTCTGTCTGCTTATTAATTATAAATTAGTATAATGCTTGATCGTTCTTTAGTGTTGATCTGTATAAAGAAAGATTGCTTTTTTATTGTTGTTATGCTATTGTTATTAAGGCTGCTGTCTGCTATTACATGCTGCTGGCTGTATCTTAATCAATTTAGTCTATGAGCCTTTTTCTCTATATTCCTCCCTTGAGTCGCATAGTGTGTTCTTTGTTTTGGAGAATTATCAGTTTAGTTTTTGTAGGTTACCCTAATCTAATGCTATATTTATTTTATATATATATATACTGTATTTACAGTACATACATATATATTTACAGTGTATATATATTTTATTTTTTATTATTTCAGGTACTTATATAGCGCTGTCAATTTACAGGTTACACCTTACATATATATTGTACATTTACCTCTAACCCTCAAGGGGCGTACAATCTAAGGTCTCTAACTTACATTCATATATACACATGCTAGGGCCAATTTAAACAGGATCCAATTAACCTACCAGCATGTCTTTGGAGTGTGGGAGGAAACCAAAGTACCCGGAGGAAACCCACACAGGCACAGGTAGAATATGCAAACTCCAGGCAGGTGGTGCTGTGGCTTCTCAGTCTTAGTCCGTAGGGTTCTATATTGAGTTGGCCCACCCTTTGCAGCTATAACGGCTTCAACTCTTCTAGGAAGGCTGTCCACAAGCTTTAGGAGTGTGTCTATGGGAATGTTTGACCATTCTTCCAGAAGCGCATTTGTGAGGTCAGGCACTGATTTCGGACGAATAGGCCCGGCTTGTAGTCTTCGTTCTAATTCATCCGAAACGTGTTCTATCCAGTTGAGGTCAGGACTCTGTGCAGGCCAGTCAAGTTCCTCCACCCCAAACTCGCTCATCCGTGTCTTTATGGACCTTGCTTTGTGCACTGGTGCACAGTCATGTTGGATCAGGTAGGGGCCATCCCCAAACTGTTCCCACAAAGTTGGGAGCATGAAATTGTCCAAAATGCCCCCTTAAAGTGTTACTAAACCCACAACAGTAAAATCAGTCTGTATATGCAGTGAAGCATGCTTGTTATACTCACTGTAGAACTTAAGGGGTTAATCCTCTGCATTGTGTAAAAAGGATGTTTGATCTTTTCTTCTCTGCCCTTCCTCTTGTTCAAATGCCCAGACTGATGAACCTGTGCCCTTCTGTACATGCTCAGTTGTAGTGTGTATTACTAGAGAGGTTTTTTTTTTCTTGGGAGAGTGCATGTGATCAGCACAAAGCCAACCAGCACTGTCCAGACAGAGGTCAGGGGATTTCCATCCTCCTAGAGAAAACTCCTACAAGCTTTAACCAGTGCTCAGCTGAAGTCACAAGACTGCTCTAAATGCTGATTAGAAAAGGTATTTAGCAGTTTATATTTACTAAAATAATTGCATTTCCACATTCTGTTTACTGTGGGAGACCAGATATAGTGAATGCAGGGTCCTGGGTTTAGTAACGCTTTAAAGGTTCCCTTCACTGGAACAAAAGGGCCAAGCCCAACCCCTGAATAACAACCCCACACCATAATCCCCCTTCCACCAAACTTTACACTTGGCACAAGGCAGTCAGGCAAGTACTGTTCTCCTGGCAACCACCAAACCCAGACACATTCATCGGATTGCCAGACAGAGAAGCGTGATTCGTCACTCCAGAGAACACATCTCCACTGCTCTAGAGTCCAGTGGCGGTGTGCTTTACACCACTAAATCCGTCGCTTTGCATTACACTTGGTGATGTAAGGCTTGGGTGCAGCTGCTCGGCCATGGAAACCCATTCCATGAAGCTCTCTACGCACTGTTGTTGTGCTAATCTGAAGGCCACACAAAATTTGGAGGTCTTTAGCTATTGACTCTGCAGACAGTTGGCAACGTCTGCGCACTGCCCCTGCTCTGTCATTTTACGTGGCCTACCACTTGGTGGCTAAGTTGCTGTTGTTCCCAGTTGCTTCCACTTAGTTATAATTCCACTAACAGTTGACCGTGGAATATTTAGTAGCAAGGAAATTTCATAGATGGATTTATTGCACAGGTGGCAGCCTATCACAGTACCACGCTTGAATTCACTGAGCTCCTCTTAGTGACCCATTCTTTCCCAAATGTTTGTAGAAACAGTCCGCATGCCTAGGTGCTTGAGTTTTTACACCTGCGGCCATGGAGGTTATTGGAACACCTGAATCCAATACTTTTGGCAATATAGTATATATATATATTTAGTTAAAAAAAAAATTTCCTTTTGTTTTGTTTTTTTTTTTGTGACAGATAGGGCTTTATTATGATAGCAGCTTGTCTGCATATATTATATCTTTTACTCTGTTATTAGAAAGAAATAGTTTGCATAAAACAACTTTTAAACAATATCCCAAAATATAACTAATAAATTCTTCTGATTAAAACAATATTGCATACGTTTTATGTAATGTACCCTAACGCTAAAGCATGCTGGAAAAAAAATAACTATTGGTTTAAACTGTTAGCGTAACAATTGTTAGGACATAAATTATTTTTAGAGGTTTGTGATCACTGAAATTACAAATGATATTGACCTCATTTTCATAAAAAATTTCACTGATACAGTAAATGCAAATGTCCTCCAGATTATGCAATGTAATTTTAATATACTGTATGCATTACCCTTATCCTTTTTACAATGTTTTCTTCATAGGGGAATCTGGATCAGGCTCCCCCATGGAGCCCTGCAACAACAATTACACCCAGCAACAGATTGCCTTTGCAGTGATCTGTTGCTGCAGGCGGATGTGGGACTGAGGTGGATCAACTCTTCTGATATGAAATGCCATGCATTATAATATACTGGCCAAGGTAGAAAGAAAGAAATGTTGTTCCTGCTCATGAAAATGAATTATAATCACTAAAAGGTTTGTGAAAACTATGAATCATATATGAATTACCTTAGATTATACACCCTTTGAGGATTAGGGACTGATATGAATGTACAATATATATATAAAGCGCTATGAAAATTGATGGCGCTATATAAGTATCTGTAATAATAATGAATTAGGAATAATTCTGTACCTAGTGTAGACTGACTTATACTAGACAAGAGATCTACAGAGACATAGACGATACTGATGCCTAATAGATATGTTGGCACCTGTATTCCCACCGTCAGTAAACAGACTGGCAACTTGTATGGGGACATGTCTTTATCTGCAGTATTTCCAATTCTCTTCAATTAATGTTAAAGTTCCCAAGAGGGAATCAAATAAAAGGACTGTTCAGATATGAAAGTATAGGCTCCTAGAGGTACATACTTGCAGCAGATTTCAAGACCCTCCTGTAATGGCCATGTCTCAGCTCTTTCTGGCAGGCAAAGCTTCAGTACATCCTGAAAGAGCCAAGGTTTCCCTACCCCATTGTGACTGACCTTCATAGTAAATGTGCCAATAGGAATGTGCTGGAGTGGAACTTAGTATATTTTGTGTAGTTTTGTAACTTGCTATCAGGTGTGATGGGCAGTGTGGAAGGCTTCTTCAAGTATGTGGACACCTTCAGGTGGCAGGTCTTCATATGACAGAGCTTTAACTGTCACAATTCTAACACCTTAAGAGCATAGTACTACGGAAAATAAAGGACAACAAAGGTTCAAACACAAATACTTAAACTTGACAGGCATGGATAAAAAGAAGCCTTTTTAAAAAGCCATATGAAAAAATAGAATTTCCCTGCTATATATTCCTTCCATTCCTCTCCATTATAGGAAGTATGTTTTGCCCCACCTCCTCAATGCAGCCCGGTGCTTAATTCTAGTGTATTGGAAGAATCGACAGGTCTCTAGCCCAGATGGACTGGGTGAGGTTGGTGACTAATTTAATTGAAAACGAGGAATGGATGGCCAAATATAAAGACAAATATTAATTGTTTTATAGTTTGGGGCAACTGGAGACCTAATTCCCTTTGTCTGATTTTCCCACTGTCTCCTCCATCGGGCACTTCCCTTTCTAGAGCCTGTTATATGACTCGTTAGTGTTTGCTACACATCCTGTGTACACTGAGATGACTCTTGCAACTGAGTTTAGTTTTTTCATATTGCTGGAAACCGCTTCCTTCCTTGTCTGCTTTGGTATACCCTTTTGGTTGTCTAGGTATCTGATGCTTGGCTCAAATGCACTAGAAACTTCACAGCACCTATTGGTTTGTTAGGGCAGCTTTGAGATTTTTCAGTATGGGTCCACCTCTGCTAGGTTTTGTGCTATGAGCCATATTACACTATGTTGTTCCTTACTTTGTTATTTAGTTAACCTTTTGGGGTGCTATCCCTAGGTGTGTTTTCCATACGCATCTATATATCTAGAGGTCTGGAGTGTGGCTATTATTATTTGCTGGTTCGTTGGCTAGGCATATGATGTGTTGCAGACCTCTGTTAACTGTAAAATGACCTCAGCACCTTCTTGTATGCCTCTTGATGATTTGTTTTTTCATGTGTGCGTTATTGTAACATTTGTTTTGTGTAAATAAACATTATACAAAGAAAAATAGTATTTCCTACTCCACAGAAATGAAAGAGATAAAATGGAGCCATATGATTCTGAATTAGATGACTGGATACCACAATTAAGGCTGTGTAGACTTTTGTTTTAAATGCTTTTTATGACATGATTATACCAATGTTTCTTCTTTCTTCTGATTTCCAGTAATGTTTATGCTCACTGCCAAGAGGAAAATGAAACTTTTACATTGCAAGAAATTATTGTCACCAAAAGGAGTGTGAGTCAGGAGTCTTGGGAGTAATCCAGCTATAGTAGCAAGAGAGCACTTAAAAAGAACTAAGGAGTACTTCTTTTACGACATCGTTCACAAGGTGGTCAACTCCAACTGCCTTTTCTCTCAAAAATATAGTAATGCACATTGGGGCTAAATCATGCATGTATCATAGAAGCTACAGCATAATATGTCAGATCTATAAAGCTGTCCAAAAGAATCTACGAGCCTTAATAGATCACACAGCAATCCAAACTTCTAAAGCTAGTGAAATGCTTTCTTGCATTACCAGAGGAATAGATACAAGAAAAAGAAATAATCTTACTTAAAAAGAACACTTTAGTAAGACTTTTGATTTAAAGCAGATCCTTAAGTATCTTCTCAAGTCTACATAAATACATTCCTGAATTTTCACTATATACAGCAACTGAACAATTTTTCAAACAAAGCTTCACCTTTTATCATTAGAAAAGGGACTCCAAAAAAGCTCCAAAAAGCTCCAAAAAAAGGGACTTTTCTTAAGCTAATATGATGTCATAAGCCTGCTGCATTGAGGAAGAAGTATTTTCTCAGCCTCCTCTCCCACTGGTGATTAAACTGCAATAAATGAAAAAATATATAACACTAGGTCCACTACACCACTTCCCACAATAGGATGCACCCATACATCCTTGGTTCAGAGTGGTTATACCAACATCATGGTTGCAGCCATGATTCTGGTATCATTTTCTATTACTGGTGATTCCCTTTTCTGTAATAGTGATCCGAGAAGATCACTTTTACAGGGGGCGGAAGGTGATCCAGCTCTCCCGCTGCTGCCTTCTGCCATTCCACTAGCTGGCTTACCTTAAAAAAGAACGAGGAACATTTGTTTCCCAATTGTCTCTATGGTGCATGAAACTGCCAATTACAAGGATTTCATCACTTCCTGTGTCGGCTGTTTGTTTTCTGACCGTTGCCAGATAGTGAAGCAGTCAATCAAACCAATCTCAGGCTGCTTTGGAGGGCAGAGGAGAGATTTGAGGTCTAATAACCTTCAGATCTTGCCATAAAGAGTACCTGTCACTGTCCATGTTATCACAAGGGATGTTGATCATCTCTTGCGATAACAATAATGTTGATTTAAAAAAAATTAAAGAGACAGTGTAAAATAAATAAATAAATAAAATGTAACATGCCTCCGCCCCCCATGCTCACAAACGCATATGTAAATAGTATCACCACACCTCTTGTGAATGTAAGCTGGTAGCCTGTAAAGTTTTTTGAAGCATTATTTAATGCATTGTAGTTTGTCGCCATTCCATGGGCATGCGCAATTTTAAAGTATGACATGTTTGGGTATATATTTACTCAGCATAACAACATATTTTATATTTTACCAAAAAATTAGTATTATATTGTGTTTATGTGCACAAAAATTAATTAAAGCGTTTTTCCTGAAACTTTGTATTTGACAAACTGCTACACAAATATTGTGTTACATAAAAAAACAGCCACCATTTTATTTTCCAGGGCCTTTGCTTTTAGAAAATATATAATGATTTGGGGTTCCAAATATGTTGTAATTTTTCTAGTAAAAAAAAAAAAAGCAGGTTTATATGTGTATGTGAGAAGTTTCAGAATTGGCTTGGGCAGTAAGTGGTTAAAATGTAGATTGGTTTGGACACCAGCTAAAAAGAAACAGCTAGAAAGAATGCAGAGAAGAACAACTAAACAAATTATGGCATGAAGGGCCTTAGATATGGGGAAAGAATAGTTGAACTATATTTATTCACCTTTGGCAAAATTACTGGAGGAGAGAATCATCTTGTATAAACATATAATTAGCTCATATAAAAAATTCAGTGGGACGTTGTAAATTTTAAGGTCATCAAAAAGACATGAGGGTTCTTAACTGTAAGAGCAGAGAAAATGCTAAATGATTCTCCACAGAAACATCTTCCAACAAACTTAATAGACTACAAAATAAAAAAAAAAAAACAGCTCAATGGATTTACATTGTAATCTCTAACGAGCAGGGCCCTCTGAATCCTCCTGTATTATTTGTATTGTAATTGTACTGTCTGCCCTTTTGTTGCTAAGCACTGTATAAACTGTTGGTGCTATATAAATCCTGTATAATAATAATAACAACATGTATAAGCCTCTACTAATATATATATGAAAGAACATTGCAGAATTGTAATCCTTTGAGTTATTCAATTTAATTTGAGGGTAGTTAAAGAATTGTTATTAAAGTTTTTTGTATTTTTCTAGATCAACTGGAAGTGTGGAATCTTCGAAATTCACATTACAATACTGGGAGTGATCATGTGACTACAACTGGAAAACCCTCCCAATTAGTACTTAATGGACGTGGCTAAAATTTATGTGTCTGTAGCCACAGGGCAGAAATAA